CATTGGTTTTTTTTTAATAGGCTGTGAACTTGAAAGAATATGGAGGACAGGAAATAACATCCACAGGAATTTTTATTTTGCACCATCAATATTCAGACTATATGACAGTCAGGGTTTGGTGATGTCTCCTACATGACATTTCTCTGAATAAGGTTTTGAGGACTGGGCACAAAAAGTGGCAGGCCTGATGTTTAAGGCTTTTAGCGGATGCCACAATGATTTTTTGTGACATTGTCATGTAACTGTAGTTGTCCTCCTCTTAGTGCTTCATCAGGATCCCCTGAGGAGGTTGTGGTACTGCTGAAGGCTCAGCCTCAGATGCCCAGGGTTGGACTGTCTGAGATCCAGACAGGGGGTGGACTTCTCCAGGATTCTGACACAGGTGGCCTGGGAATTTCACTCACCCCAACACTGGCCAAGAACAACAGTCAGTTGCCACAGACATCATGTGCATTACCCTATTCCCTCTTCAGAAACAACCTTGGCTAGTGGAGGGTTCTCATCTTCTAGGTGAAGAGCTGGAAGTGTGGGCTGGGGAAATCACTCACCAAAGGTCTCCTAGGAGGCTCAGTGAGGCCAGGGCCGAGACGGCTTCCAAGCAGGTCCCTTTGTCTTTCTACGTCATTGAGGTCCTTCCTTCCCACTCTGTTCAGCACTGTTTTCTGCTGGACCCTGGACTTTGCTCTAGAGTGGCTGGTATTATCAAGAAAAGAGGGGTTTGGGGTGGTGGCTCAGAGGTAGAGCGCTTGCCTGTCTGTGTGAGGCACTGGGTTCGAACCTCAGCACCACATAAGAGTAAAATAAAGACGCTTCGTCTACCTACAACTAAAAAATAAATATTTTTTTTTAAAAAAGAAAATAGCAAGCATTTGTTGTAACTATAAGTTACAAATGCATGAAAATCTGGAGTAAATCGCAGGCACCGTCCTGACTTTCAAAATATTTGCTCATCAGTTGTGTCCTAGATGCTTAAGTGGTCACCCCCTTTGCTATACTCACCACCCTTCCCACATAGTCCCTTTTACCCAAATTGCTTGTGAATTCCAGAAGTGGATTCCTGAGTCTGGAGCCGGCTCATGTCCATAAGCCCTGGGGAAAATCCTCACGAGTGATTGCACGCTTGGGTCTTGGGTCTGTGGGCAGTTTTCCTGACATATGATCCAGATGAATGTTCATTCATTCAGAATATTTGAGTGCCTGCTCTGTGCTAGATCACTTTCTAGGTGTCCAGATAGAGGGATGAACCCCACTGACAGAGCACCTGCCCATGCAGGTCTGACTTTCTGGTAGAGGAAATCCCCGATACACAAGGACACCAAGTGCTCTGAATGCAGATGGGTGTGAATCCCTGTTCTCTCACTCTCTGTGCTCAGGGCTGACTCTCATTTAATCCCATTGAGATCGAATCGTCTTCATTTTTTTTTCTTTCTCTCCAGTGCCTAGCACAATGCTGAGCTACTTCTGGGGCTTCCGATGTCTAAGCCTGGTTACTGTCATATAGATGGAATGGCAAACCCTGCCAACCTCAGGTGCTCGTGGTCATCCTTCCACTCCCATCTCAGTTGTCACCTCCTCCTGCTCAGAGCCATCAGAATTGAGCACATGCTCACTGCAGTATCCAGTGCACCTGTCACCCTTGCTGGGCTCTGAACATCTTAAGGAACACCTCTGTGAGTCTTTGCCTGTGTTTCCCCAGGACCCAGCAGGGAGCCTTGAGAAAGGAGAGCTCAAGAATTTGCCCAAAGAATACATGTACAGTCCCTGGAACCTAGAGATGAGCAGTGGTATGGCAGGAAATGCTTTATGAGGAGGGATGCTGAGTGGGACCGAGAATGCTCCATCCCAGTATTTGGGTGATTCTTTGAGTTCGGCACGAGGGCTGTCACAAGTAGAGGAGATGGGCTAGGATGTAGACAGATAGAAGGGAGGTGGCATGGAACATCCTAGCATGTCGTTGCTAAGGAAGTCAGAAATTTTGAAGTTCTGAGGTTCAAGGTCTCAGGATGCTGGTTTGCATAGCTTATGTCCATCTGAGGTCTGGGGAAGCCGCAGCTTGACCTGGTTTTGACAGCTAGTTAGTTGCAGACCAGGGCTGGAGGTGGAGATATATTAAATATTAAAAATTATGCTAGGACTGTGGTTTGTGACAGATAAAGGGAAAAAAAGGCACAAAGAGGTGAAGTAATGTAGTCCAGATCACACAGCTAGTGAGCAAGGAGGCCTGGGGTCAGATGGGATGACAGAAGCCAACTTGTAACCACTAAGGTGTATCTTCTCCAAGTTTGTACCACGCATAGTCTGAACACATCTTCAATTTTCCTCTTTTGTTAGCTGTGAGTCATTATAGGAAATTAATATGATTAACCTGTGTTCTTTCCATTTTTTCTATTATTATGTGTTTCCAGAAAAATTATTACATTCTTTGAATAGTGTAATGAAACTCCCTGGATTATCAACTGTGAGTATACAAGTGTAATATACATACAGAAAATGGAGAAGGTTCTTTCTTTTTTTTTACTACATTAAATTTAAAACATTCCTACTTATTTCTGCTGCACTTTATTTAAAAGAAATATTTTACAGCATATTGTAATGAATGAAAACCTGATTCTCTAATTTTAGGAGCCTCAGCATTACAGCCAGTGAATGGAATTCTAAAATTCTTACCTACATAGGTTTCACGTCCATTTTGCTCCATTTGTTGACATATGGACTAGAAGGTAGCTATATTCCTATTTTAGAAAAGATTCTTTCTAGACACAGAAGAATTAAGCAGCTTGTCTGAGTTTCAAAACAAGTTGATAGAGGAACCCAAAATAGAAGCTTTTCTAGTGAATACTAGATTCACTAAATTTCCTAACATAGCCTCTCTGCATTCACTGAGCAGTTTACAGACCAGGGCCTGGAACATCAGCCTGTTTGAACAACAGAGATGCTTCTGTTGGTGGGAGGGGGTGGCTGGGGAAAGGAGAAGGAGGGCTGAGACATTTGTTTCTAGGTCATTTCCAACCTTGCTATTATTGCACAGTTTTCTAGATGGAAAAGAATAGGCTTATTAAAGAGAAAGTGTTCATTTAAAAATAAAGCAATGGAGACCCGAAAGGGCTCTGTTACATAGATAAATGAGCATACATAAATGGATTCGGTTTTTGTTTTTCATACTCTGTTATATTCTGTATTAGGGCAAAGGAGGAGGCAACTAAGTAGTTGTTTAAAAATGAAACAGTGTGCTGTTCATTTAACTTTAAAAGCCACTGATTAGAATAATAATCAGTGTTTCCATGTAGTACTCTATTCATGGAAATACTGATATAACAGAGAGTAGAGGTAATACAATGATGCTCTTTATTTTTTCATGTAATCTAATTTTAAAATACATTCTAATTCACAAATGATGAAGAAAGCCGGCAACATCATTCAAATGGGATATGTTGGGCAATTAAATTCTTTGTGTAAATTACAAATTCCTGTCTCTCCAACTTCCACCCAAATTTATTTTTATGGAATGACCTTTGGTACCAATTTTTTTCATAATAGAATATTTCCTGAGTTTTTTATTTTGAGTGGATAGCCTTTTTTTTTTTTGGTTAGGTATGGTATTTATAAAAGTTTCTTTGATGAAAAGCCTATGAATTTTGTGCAAATAATTCAGGCAGGCTCTTGGATTAGTGATAACATTTGTAAAGGACTCTTATGGCTTTAAGCTATCCTTCATCCCTCATTTTTTTTTTGACCCTTACCTACAAGGTCACTGTGGAATTCACATTTCACTGATGAGAGTCAATGTAAAAGGATGGTGTCGTCATGGTTCTGAGCATACAGCAGGTGTCTGATACATTCAGGGTAGGAAATTAACAAGAGTACCCATGGGTTATTTAACTTGCCTAAGGTCATGCAGCAGGTATAATGTCACACCAAGAATTGAACTTGCTTCATCTTCAAATATATAATTCAGTGATGTTTAGTATATTCAGAGAAATGCTATGACCCATCACCTCTTTTCTAGTTCCAAAATATTTTCATCATTCAGAGGAGACTCCATATTCTTTGAGCAGTGACCCCCTTCCCTCTTGCCCTCTCTTCAGCTGCTGACAACCATCAGTCTTCTGTCTCTTTAGGTTTGCCTATTCTGGATAATCCACATAAATGGACTCTTACATCATCTCACCTTTTCTGTCTGCCTTCTTTCACTTAGCATAATATTTTCAAGATCCTCCCCACATTGTGAAGTGTCTCAGCACATCACACCTTTTTATGGTGGGATAATCTTCCATCAGATATACATACATGTTTTGTGTATCCATTTGTCCACTGATGGATATCTGGGTTGCTTCCACTCTTTGGCTCTTATGAACAGTGCTGCTATGAACCTTCAAGAGCAAGTATTTGAATATTTGTTTTCAGGTTTTGGGACTATATACTTAGAGGTGGAGTTTCTAGATCACATGGTAATTCTCTGTTTAACTTTTTGAGGAACCATTAAACCATTTCTCACTGTGACTGTACCACTTTCCATTCCTACCAGCAACAAATGAGGATTCTCATTTCCCCCCGTTCCTTGACAAGACTTGTGTTTTTGAATTTTTGTTTTTTTATTATTATAACCATGTTAGTGGAAATGGAGTAGTATCTCCTTGGGATCTTGATTTGCATTTCTATAATTAAAGATTCACATTTTAATGCATGGAATTAATCAGAAATTTGGCTTTGGTAAGACAGAAATCAACATCAAAATGATTATCTTCATCTGTCTTCAGGAGCTTAAGATGGGCATATATCTGCCCCTAGGTATAGGACTCTGGGCTGAAAATGAAGAATATTTGGGATTAGAACATACCCTAACTTTTAAAGAAATATCTTGTAAATTAATCAGAAAAATAAAAATTATGTTTTGTTTTTCATGGCAACTGCCAAAAGATACTTAGTTCTTTTGCATTTCAAAAAAATCTATTTTAAAAAATTCTTTCATGGCTTAATGGTGTCTCCATTTATTTTCACAGTGTGAGAGAAGACACTCAGGATGGCTCAGGGATCCGGGGATCAAAGAGCAGTGGGGATTGCTGATCCAGAGGAGAGTTCTCCCAACATGATAGTCTACTGCAAAGTAAGACAGACGGCTTCTTCAACACTCTGCAGGCCAGCTCTGTGTGTCTGTTCTCTGTAAGGGTTGACGGGTGATTGACAGCAAGATAAATGTCTTCTTCCCAAACTGCATTAAATGATAAATAAGTATTTTCTTCTCATATCCTCTGATGATCTAATTCTCAAATTCAAGGAAATGAGGTTTGATCATACTTAAAAACTCAGTATTCAATACTTGAAAAAATATTATTCTATTTAGTTTTGCTTAAGCCTGAAGGTTGTCTAAACAATGCCAGTGGAGATGTATTCTCCCTGTTCAGCATATAGGCCTTTACAGTGTAACGTATGATACATCCACTGAAAGTTCTTTGTTCTCATAGCATGTACAAGATATGGACTATATGCCTGCATTAAATGCTTATAGTTGGCAGGAGACAAAAGAGGTACGGACATAACCGCAATACAGTCTAAGCATTAATTTTCCAAAACAGAGGTCTTTTGAGTAGAGTGTTACATTATCTCAGAATAAGAGGAGAATTCTCCCAGCTTCCCAGGTCAGGATGGGCTTAGGGAGGAGTGGTCTTTGGACTTGGTATTAAAACATGTATAGGGTTGCTGAATGGGGAAAGCAGAGGGGCGGGGGAAGCACATTGCAGGGGATTTGCTCTGTTCAGCCAAGGCACAGAGTTATGGGAAGTAAACAGCCAGCAGAAATGATTAGTTTGGGCATAGGGATAAAAACAAGGAGTAAACAGAGGTAAGGTTTTGCAGAGAGAGGCTGGACAAAACCAGATTGTAGAGTTATGAGCAGTTTAATCATAAAACACTTGTGTGCTGAGAGTTGTAAAATCCATATGTCTCTGGGATTGAAAATCATGCCCCCCCGTGTGCCAAATGGATTGTTGTCAAGACGGGTGCAGGCTCTGGGAAGGATGTTTCTGTGTCTGTGAAAAGGGCAAGGAAGACACTAATCTCGCAGGACAATTCCCTCCAGAATCGAGAGGGACTGATCAGAGGGAGTGAAGAGTCTGAATTAAAAATAACTTGAAACTGAATGAATATGGAATTAGGCGGCAAGTAGACAGTCAAAATGACTAGATTTTTGACCTTGGGTGATAGACATTGATGCTGTGAATTCAAATAGGGAATTCAGAAGAAGATGTTTTAAAAGCAGGAAATAAGGCACATGACGTTATTTTTGCAAACAATATACTTAAGGAAATCATTCCTTCTACTGTTTGTGAAAATGTATTACATATTAATAAGGGAAATGGATTAATGTTAATTCATTTCATTAAACATCCAAGTCGCCAGCTGGGTTTGGTTCCTTCGGCAACTCTGTTGAATTCATGTTAATCATATGGACAATGTTGAACTTGATATTCCTGGATGATCAACACAGGTAATTTTTCTCTTTTCTTTGTGAAAATTGAACTCTCATGTTATCCTTGCTCTGGGTATAAAATTCAGTACTTTTTTGCTTTGCTTTTTTTTTTTTTTTTGCTTAATTTGAATGCTAAGATAATCCATCTCTAAGAAGGATGCTTATTAAAGTATAGTAAGGAAAAACTTACTATAGATTAACGGAGCTGAGCAATTAGTGAAGCATATAGAATAATAGGAAGACATTTATTTATTGTTTTCTTCTCCCCAAACTAGGAGGCCCTATGGTAGGCTAGTAGCAGAGTGGGCTTCGGAGTTAGGCCTGGGTTAAAATTCCAACTTTATCACTTTCTAGCATTGTGACCTTAAGTAATTTATTTTACTTTTTTGATCCTATAAAAGGGAAAAAGGGGGATGAAGGTTATTGGGAGGTTATTTACTCTATAGATATGGGAATGGGTTACCTTAATGCTACTTGGACATAATGTGGTATGTAATGAATATTTATTTTTATCCTTGAGTCTTTAGAGAGAGTGATCCTTGGAGAGAAAATAAATTATAGAATGTATAAGTATCGATACTGTTAATAGTTGACCGAAGTAAATTTATATATATAAGTTGCCTTTTTAAGACACAAGCAAACAATACAAATACTTTATATTATTCAGGGAATTGCAAATCTGTGAATTATTAAAGGTTAATAGGAAATATAAAGGTCATACAATCCAAACTCCTTTCTGCTAGAGTGTTTGGTATTATGTTGAAAGGAAAGATATTCTTATAGTTTCATGAGAACTTGAGTTCTACTCTTTGGGTGTTACCAGTTTTTTGTTTTTTAAATTGAGAAACAAACTTATCAATCATTGTGGTTCTTTAGAGATATGGCCACTAGGGATGGGAATGTATCTTGCTTCCTTGTGACACACTTTTGCAGGGGTATGTATGTGTTTGTGTTCCTTGCTAGATTAATTCCTCTCTAAAAGTAATTCATTGAATCTGTTCCATTTATATGAAAGAAAAGTTGTGCAGTGTCCAGGCCCCTGAACCATTTCTAACCTGGTGAATCTGTCTCACTGGAATCACAGAGGTATACCTGAAACATGGGAGAGTCACGTGGTTTTCTACTTCGAGTGCTTCCGGGCCTTTGGCTATAACCCAAAGCTTACACCCACAGAAGGAAGTTAACCTTGAGATGTCATTCAGAGTTCAAGATCAATTCAAAGCATTTTCTATGGAAGCGATAGTTTGTCCCTGTGATCTCTTTTTTTTTTTTTTTTTTTTCAAATTTGAGGCCCATAAAACCAAACCCTTTCTTAGGTAACTGCAACTAAAATTTACCTTTTTGAAAATTTCACTTTCATTCTTGTTTTCTTTCTCTTGCTTGTTGCTTACTTCTCTTGTCTCAGATGTTTTCGGTGTGGAAGTTTTGCTTGGGCTGAGTTGTTTTGATTCAGGAAAAAAAGCCAAATTAGAGAAGTAGAGCATCTGAGCAAACTTCTGAATAATAAGTGGGAGGATCATGTTGATGATGTTTGATTTTTATTATTTTTAATTGACATAATAATTGCACAAATGTGTGGGATACAATGTGATGTTTTGCTCTATGTATAGTTTATGAAATGCTCAAATCACAGTAATTAGCATATCCTTTATCTCAAACATTTATCAGTCCTTTGTGGTAAAACATTTAAAAACCTCTCTTCCAGCTCTTTTGACATACACAAGATGTTCTTGTCAACCAGGTTGTTGTCACTTTCAAGCACCATTTAGGATGGCAACCTTCTGACACATGAGTAATGATGGGTGGGATCTGTAGGCCCACAGTCTTGAGAACATTCTTCATTTTCTTTTCATGTTTTCATGTCATTAACTGTGAGAAGTTGTACTTTTCCCAAGGCATGATTTATTTATTGTCTTGAGCAGACTTTCTCATTTAGTTTTTCATCCTTCATATTCACATTTTTGGATTGGAGGTGTGTATGAAAAATGTATTGGTCACATTCAAGATCTATTTAAAAGAAACTTTAATTATTCATGAAGACATCCAGACCCGTCAGCCTTTTTCGTATTCCCAGATTCTAAGTATCCTGGGTCATTGAATTGCCCAGTGTAGTGACAATATCTGAAATGATCATTTAGGGGTCTTTTAGAAAAGCACTAATCCTCAAAAGACCCCCTCCTCAAGATATTTTTATTTTATTGGTCTAGGCTGGGTCATAGAAATCGGACTTTAAAGAAGTCCTGGGAGAATCTGGTGCTGAACTAAGTTTGAAAAGGCACTTACTTAGTTTTTGTTAGTCTCTGGGTACCATAGGTGTTGCAAAGTCATGGTGAAATAGGTGTTTTTAACTGGATATTTTATTTCACAATGATTCATAGACCTCTTCAGATTTGGAAGAATGGAGCTCTTGTCATAGTGCTGGAAGCAAAAGATTTTTTGGTAGCTTTTTTCTTATAGATTTTCTAGTTAATGCCCTTGTTTTACAAGTGAAAAAAAATGAAAGTATGGAGAAGACGAATAACTTGCTTAAGGCTCCCCAGCAATTGCCCAGCGAGGCTCTGACGGTCCAAGGAGCCTGATGGCACAGGTCAGAGTTCTTGGTGGCATCTGATGAAGTCACTTTATTATCAGCCACAGAGTACCATGACCACATTGTTGGAGCTCAGCAGCCATTGGCTGAGTCAAATAAATGGAAATATTATGTGGCAGATCCTTGGCTTTGATGCTTACCCTCAGGGATGTGACCTAGGTTCACTTCTCTTATTTGTCATGCTAACATTGCATTCCAGGTACTGGATGTCTTGTTTCTTGGGTAAAGATTTTCTGAACTGTTTACTCCCTTTTATGACTAGGAATTTTTTTTTCTTTTTGAATAAGAGTAGATTGCTTTCTGATTTTGTTTGATTTTTTTTTCCCCTCTGAGTATTGTTAACAATGTCTCTAAACAAATTTCCAAACTAGACTGGTAATTTGATTTAGTAGAACCCGGGGCTCTTAGATGGTGAATGGAAGAGAACATTTTAGCTTTCCTTGACCTGGTTCCGGGTCAGGAGGCAGTACTCTGTGATGGAAAATGCTGAACAGGGAGCTGGGGGCTCTGGGTCGTTGATCCCAACATTAGTTCCTACTGCTTTGGCTCTCTGAGGGTGAACTTGAACTTCCTATCCCTATTTCTTGTTTTGTCTTTCTCTCTTGTGCATTCTTTTCCTCCTTCCTTACGGGTTATGAAATACTTTCACAAAAAGAATATATTCAGCGTCCATGTATGGTAGAAAGAAGAATAAAATATGAACCTCGCGTACCCACCACTGACCTAATAAATAAAATATTATTCCAGCTTCACTTTATCTTTTGTAATGTGAGGGAATTCATCTAAATAATGTGCAAATACTTTTCTGCAATGCTTTCAAAGTTGCGTTCTATAAACTTTTAGTCTTCTCAGAAATTAATGGCTGATATCAAAACAATGCTGTGAGATGACATACATTCTAAAGATCTTTTGAACATTTTTTGGAAATATTTTAGACAGTCTATCTAAGATAACCTAAATTGCACTAAGGCTAAACCAAATTTAGTCAGGCATTAGAAGAAAAAAAAAACACAATTTAATTGTGATGATTTAACATTCAACAGTGAAA